TCTGTAGTTCATCTGCTGGTTTTTCAAACATCTTTGTGCTTTCTTCCATGTTGTCCTTCTTGCTGGGCTTTTCTTTCAACAGCCACAAAACCTGATTAATTTTCCTCAGCAAATCCCACCTTATGTCTTCTTCACCATGAAGAACACAGAAACAAGAGTTTGACTGACGGTGTGTTGCAAACTGTGCCTTCCCCACTGATCAATACAGCCTCATTGTTTCCCTCATCTGCCCAGAGCCATCTGCTGTCTTTTGTCTTATACTTTTGAGTTCTTCAGGGCAGGAATTATCTTTTTGCCCTATATTCCTATACAAAATAACAAGATAATCACAGTTCAGGCAGGATTAAGGCTGCTAGATAACATGATAATACAAACAAATTACAACAACGGAAAATTTGCTCCAAGTTCTCTACAGGTTTTATTTTTTTTTTTTTTTAATGAAATCTAAGACAGAAATATTAGGTGGTTCAGGAAACACATCACAAATTCCACTGTTTTTTCAATGCCTCTGACAAAGGTTTAAAATAGCAGTAGGTGAGAATATTAATTCAAGTCTTCTAATATAGGGCTGGATCAGGCTCGGCAGGTCTGACAGCCTGTCTCCATTGTAACTCCTCCTAAAGGCAGGAAAAGGATTCTCACGGGAAATGAATCAGCCCCTACGGAGCCCACGAGGCAGCGTGCAAGAGGAGTTCTGCTACTGCCTGGCAAGATCGGTGGCTCAGATACAGGACCGCGTAGTGACATCTTTATCATAATCCCTAATAGAAATATGCCATATTTTCGTGTTTATTTTTATTTGAAGGTGAATGTCGCAAAAGTTAAAGGGCTGCAACACTAAAACGGGGTCATAATGAGAAAAAAAAAAAATCTAAGATTATTTCCACAGAGATCATGATTCAGGGAGACTGCTGCGAACCACAAATGTAAAATTATAAATATTACAAAGCGTGTATTTATGTGCAAGAGGCCTAAATTTCAGGAGAATCCTCGTTCCAAGGGCCTTTTGGTGCCTACATGCTCGCTTACGAGACTGTGATATGCAAGGGGGATTATTTTATCTTGCACTGAACAGAGAAGGTGTCAGAATCTGCCCGTCTTTTCAGAGCCCAGCTCCAGCAGGCACTACCTGACTCAGCTCACAAACTAGAGCCACAGCATCAAATTTCCCAACCCACTTAATTTGAAAGCCTGCCAAGATAGGTGAAAGACCTTATAAATATGTAAAGCAGGAAGTTCAGATTACACAGTGATGTAAATTCCCAGTGATTGATGCCCTTTTAAAAACAATAAAAATCCTCGAGAAACTACAATGTTGGTGAATGTGCTTCCCTCCCGATGCTGTCTGGCGGTGCCGTGCGGAGTTTGGCTGATGTATTGTACTTTTCGTGCGGATTTTATTTTGGATTTCTACCACTTCCTGGAGGCCAGGGGGAGGCACAGTGGGAGGAACCAAAAAACTCGGTGCCACAGCCATTTTGTTTGTGGGCAGCATGGTAGAATTCTGTCAGTCAGTATAAGGAGGGGTTTTTAAAACAGAATTTATGGGAAAACTATTCCTGCCGTAACGGATGTATCTGTTGAATTTAGTGTTAATTTAGTCCTTTCATAAGGTAGGTATTTATAATTGTAAGTAAATTGAGTATCTGTTGGGATTCAAGCCTCCCCACTTTCCAGGAATCATGGATTTTGTTTCAGGCATGACTGGCTCTTTCGGATGCTGCGAGGCTCCGGAGCCCGGCGGGGCGGGGGTGCCGCGGGGGGAGGCCGAGGGATGCGCCGGGCGGCACAAACTTGCTGCGGGGTTCGGAGTGGGGGCGGGGGCGGGGGGAGGGACGGAGGGAAAACGGCGAAGTCTTGGAATTATTTTGTCCAACAGTCTTTCTTTATTAATTCTCAAGAGGCAGCTGCTCTCTCCGAGGGGAGGATGAGGCGTGGGGTTGCGCGGGGCGAGCCGTAGTTTTGCAGTGTCACCGAAAACCAGCGCTAGACTTTGGTCCTGTGTGCTCCAGAGGCGGGTGTAAAATGGCACACTGCATTTTTCCAGGCGGCGGCGGGGGGAGCGGCGGGGCGGGCGGGGGCGCCGCTGCCCGCGGAGCCCATCGAGCCAACGCCAGCCCCGGCAAAGTTGTGACCCCGGCGGCACCGGGTCCCCCGCCCCGGCTGCGGCCGCCCGCCGGCAGCGCCCGCCGACCCTCGGGAAGCCGCCTCCTTCCTCGCCCGGCGATCCTGGCGGGGTGACGGGCAGGGGGAGGAAAGAAGAGAGGGAGGAGAGGAGGAAAAAAAAAAAAAAAAAGGAAAGAAAAGTCTCACTTTCTGCATTTGCGAAATATTTTAAGGATGTTCGGGAAGCCCTTTGCAGCATGGAGGTGGCTGGTTGTAGGAGAGCGAGTATGCAGTCCATATTGTTACAGCCCTTTTGCAAGGGCTGCCTTCTTCGAAGGTAAGTTTGTGGTTTTAACCAAAAATATTCTTTTCTGCGGGTTTTTGGTGTGTGATAGGGCTGGGGAGGATTTTCGTTGTGTTGATGAACAAAACGTAGTCTTGTATTTTTCATAGCTTTGATCTCATGTGAATCCCACCCAACGGTGTCTCCTTAATAACGACAATTACTGAAGTCAGTTTTGTTTCCTCTTTAAAATTTTATACACGAGAAGATTAAAAACAATTTAACTTCAGTTTAGGAGTATAAGAACTCAAATATTTTCCAGATGGACTTGGTTTTGGGGGTTTTTTATTTATTTTTGTTTTTTTTGGTTCTGGCTTTTTGTTGGGGCGGGGGGGCAGGGGGGAATTCTTTACCGAGTAATAAACGGATCCAGGACCAAATATGTGACTGTCTATATAAATATAATGCAGCTCTCGTGTATAAAGAAGCATGTTATGTTGCTACAGTATGGTCTGATGGTAGCTAAAAGAGTTTACAATGCCATTTGTGATGGCTCTTGATGGATTACTTTGGTCTAAAGTAAGGGGGAAAACTGCCCTTGATATGGTGAAGGTGGAGATGGACATAAGAGGGTTTATATTAAGTTATGTCTCTTACTAAACAGTGACCTTTTTATTTACAAATTCCAGCTCTTGTGATAATTAGCTTAAAGCATTAGTTATATAAAGTTTTTTTTTTTTTCACACTTCACTTAGATGTCTTGGTGTTGGGTTGTTTGTTTGTTTTCTATTTTTTTTTTTTT